CAGGGAGCGCTGTGTGGGTGTGCCACCCCCATCTTCCCTGTCAGCCTCGGAAGGCAGGTCCACCTGCACTAAGGTGGGACTTCGTTACTGTCTTGCCGCTCTGGCCTCCACCTTGGCAGTTGACCAGTAGTCCCACCCGGGCAACCAGGTTTCTGCACTCCAGGGTGCGCATGTTTGCCTACAGGGCCTTCCTGTCCGTCACCCTGAAGGTCCACCATCTCACCCTCCTCTCTAGCACACAGTGTCACCTCCTTTTTTAAACAGGATTTTGTGGCAGTTATCGTGTGTAGTTACAGGTCCTATTGTTTCGAATTTCAAATTTAAAAAAATAATAAAAAATTACCATTTATATTGAACATTTTTCCTTATTTAAAAAAATCATTTTATCGGGGGCTTGTACACCTCTTATCACAATCCATCCATCCACTCATTGTGTCAAGCACATTTGTACATTTGTTGCCATCATCATTCTCAAAACATTTTCTTTCTACTTGAGTCCTTGGTATCAGCTCCTCATTTTCCCTCTCCCTCCCCACCCCCTCCCTCATGAACCCTTGATAATTTATAAATTATTATTATTTTGTCATGTCTTACACTGTCCGATGTCTCCCTTCACCCACTTTTCTGTTGTCCGTCCCCCAGGGAGGGGGTTATATGTAGATCATTGTGATCGGGTCCCCCTTTCTACCCTACCTTCCCTTTACTCTCCTGGTATCTCTATTCTCATTATTGGTCCTGAAGGGATCATCTGTCCTGGATTCCCTGTGTTTCCAGTTCTCATCTGTACCAGTGTACATCCTCGGGTCTAGCTGGAATTGTAAGGTAGAATTACACCGATGAAACATACAACTTTCCTATAGTTCTTTAATGCTTCCTCCCCTCACTATCATGATCCCAATTCTACCTTATATTTAATTTTATATAAAAAACAACAACCCTATGGTGAGTGAGTGTGTTTGGCGTGTGTTTGGTGTGTGTGTATGTGTGGACTTGGAAAGATGGGGTCGAAGGGGGTCTTGTGGAGGTCCTGTTGCACCTCCTTACTTGGGTACTGGGCTGTGCTGCTCTTGAGGCCTGGCCTGACTGCAGGGCCCAGAGGACACATTTGCTCAGGGGGCCCACAAAGAGGCACTGGGGTGCCGTGTGCACAGGCCTCTTGAGACAGACTTGCCCAACCCAGCGAGTCTGACCTGACCCCCCACCGGGCAGGCATCCCTCGGCCCTGCGCTCCTCTCCCCAGCTTTGTCACCCAGACTCCTCTGTGAGCTCAGGAGGCTGGGCCGGAACTGCCTACCATGGCTCCAGAGCTGGTCACAGCAGGTCGCATAGCAAGCAACGGGATGGGCTGAGCCAGCATGCCAGGGATCAGTTGTCTGGCCCGCTCACCTCTGGTTCTCTACCAGCCTGGAGCTTGGGCAGGCCAGCGAACCAGTGACGGATCTTGTTTAGCAACTCTCATCTGTTGGTACGGATTCTTTTTCTTTCTTTCTTTTTTTTAATTAGCAATAATCGCGCCTCGGGTACACCTCGTTGGCTACGCTATTGCCACTGTGCAAAGCGGGTACGGATTCTTGCAATAGATGTTGAGAGGGGTTTGTGACGCGTCAAGGTGGCTTAGTGAGAAAATGCTGGGATTGGCTAGCAATGTCTGTGATACTCTGTTGTAATACTCTGTGGTTTCCAAAACGACTTTCTTCTGTGCTATTTCCTGACCACTCCCATCCCCTGCGAACCTTCCAAAGGCAAAATTCACTGCCACTGAGTCAGAGCTGACTCATCTCATCTTAACCCCTTGCAGGTTTCTGAGGCGGTAACTGTTTAAGGGAGTAGAAAGTCTTTCTCCTGTGGAGCTGCTGGTGGTTTTGAACTGCTGACTCTGCAGATCACAACCCAAAGAATAACCACCATGCCACCAGGGATCCTCTGGAGGAGGCTTTTATTCCTCCACTTATTAGAAGAGGAACCAAGGCCAGGAAAGGTTTGTATCTTAATCACCCTTCACGTGAGTGATAACGCTGAGGCTAACAGCCAGACCCCTGCCTCCAGGCTAGTTCTCCACCCTCTCTATCCAACCGGATGTCTGTATACGCCCACTCCGGTGGCACTGCTGGGAAAGCATGGAACTGCTAACTGCAACGTTAGCGGTTCAAACCGGCCCACTGCTCTGTGGGAGAAAGGTGAGGCTGTCTGCTCCGGGAAAGAGTCGCAGCCTAGGAAGCCTTCTCTCAGGTTGCTCTGTGCCGGGATCAGCCCAAGGCAGTGGGTTTGGGTGACCGGCCAGGCATGGCCTTCACTGTAGCCCATAGGATGTACTAGGACCCTGGGATACAAACGTGCCTCCAGAGGGCATGGCTTTCTCCAGCCCCCACCCTCAGCCCTAAGGCACACGCCCAGCCATAGACAGGGAGGCCAGGCCTGGGCGGTCAGGCCACCCCAGTTCCAAACCAGAATGTGCCTGTCTGTGCTCTGCCTGACCAGGCTACCGCACTTTGCGGGGTTCTGAAGACCCCGTCGTGGCTGTGGTGGGCTCCTCCCACGTCATCTCCCCCTGCCTGCCTTCCTGGAGCTCCGAAGCCACAGCAGTCCACGTGGGTGGGCAGCCCTAAGCCTGAAGGAGCCAGAGAGGATGGGAGGGGGACGCTTCAGTGGCCACTGGGCACCGTCACTTGCGCATTCGCAGCCTTGGGGCAGCGTGGAAGCTCCTCATGGAGCAGGCTCAGGCAGGGCTTGGATTTGTTCGTGCGGGTCCAGAGAAGCCTGGCCTAACGTGGGTGCAGCGCAGAGAAGGGGCTGGGCTGCGATTCCTGAGCTGGCGCTGGAGCCGGAAGAGCAGGTCTCACTGGTAGCAGCTACGCCCAGGAGAGCCCTCTGTCCTCAATGCTCCAAGTGAGGCGCCAAGAACTGGGGGCCCAGCTCACAGAACACCATGGGGCTGCTGTGGGGGTCTCGTCCCCGAAGGGAGTGGTGGAAGACTTTCTGTCCTGACTGGACAGGAGACCTCTGCCCCTCCCCCACCCCAGTCTGAGAAGCCAGGCTTTGTTACCCAGGCACGTAGGACCTGTGAGCAGGGAGTGGTGGATGGGTGAACCCCTCTCCCCAGCCCCCGCAAGGGGCCTTTGAGGCAGGGCGGGGTTCAGCCCCTGACCTCCAGATTGCCTTCCGTCCTTCCTCTGGGGCCCAGCCCTTCCTCTTGCACGGACCTTGCTGGCAGCCCTGTAGATAGCTGACCGCCCAGGCCTGGCCTCCCTGTCTATGGCTGGGCGTGTGCCTTAGGGCTGAGGATGCACGGCAGGGTGGGGCGGCATTGTGTGACAGGCCTGGGGCTGCCCAGATGCCCCTGTAGTGCAGCTGCTCTGAGCCCTGGGTGCGAGGGGCCGAGAGCCGGGGGGAGCCTTCTGGGATGTTAGCAGGCACGCCTGGATCTCAGGAAACTGAGTGGCAGGGTGCAGATGGATGGATCTCTATGCCAGGGCCCCTGCTTAGAGAGCTTCATCCTTTACAACGTGAACACTAAGGACCTTCCGGGAACCCGGGGACTCTGTCAGCCGGAGGAGGAGAGAAATGTAGGCCAGATGGCGCTGCACCCAGCTGATGGCACAGCCCCCCAGCTGATGGGCGGGCAGTGCCTCTTCTAACAACTTCACTTGGCCCGAGCAACACTGCCCTGGACGTGAGCAGCGGGGAGGGCAGGAGGAGCCTGGCCGAGGGCAGAAGTGCCCGGCTCAGCCCGCCCCCGTCGCTGGCCTGCAGAACTGGGTTGAAAAGGCGGCGGTTGTTTCCTGGTCTACCTCGTGTTTGGTTGGCAGGGCAGCGTGCTTTGGGGGCGATAAAAAAATCGCCGACCCAACCCTCCTGCTCTTCTCGGAGTGCCAACTATGTTCACAGACGCGGACTCCCATGATCCTGCGAACACCACCCAGGAAGCAAATATCCATTCTCTTTGATAGGTGACGCAATTGGTATTCTGAGAGGCGACGGTGTGCTGTGATCCCACACTTGAGCGGGCTCCAAATTTCAACCCCCTGACTCCAAATCTCTGCTCTCTACCACAAAACGACCCCATCTTCCCACTGCTTCCCCTCCATCACCCAGACCATCTCCCCATCCAGCCTGGCAAACCTTGGACACACGTGGCCTTGGTCAGGGGCTGGGGCTACTGCAGCCGCCTTGCAACCGTCAGGGAAAGGCCCAGAAACCTGCATTCTCACAATACCAAGCACCGGACACCATTCACAATCCACCAGCATTTGTATGCACGAAAAAACCCTCTGCTGTCTTTATGACGGATCTGTTACCTGCAGCCCAACGCGTCAATGCACGTCAGGGGAAAGATGATGACCAAGAGGGATGAGTCACCCTGAAGCAAGCATGAGGTGGGACCCTGGTCCCTTCCTGTGACCGTGTGTCACGCCTGTGACCATGTGTCACACGAACGGGACCCAAAGAAAGAGGGACAGGGAGCAAGTCCACCATCTGGGCGCAGTGTGGCCCCGAGGACGCGCGTCTTGGTGAGTGGGAGGTGGGCTGGACCTCAGCTCCCACTTGCTTCCTCAGTTCACCCGTTACCGCCACACGGAGCTGCTCGGGGGTGGTGGGGTGGCGGGGTGGGGGGAGCGGAGAGTACCAACCGTGCTTGTCAAGTCCATTCTGAAGCCTAGCAACCCTACAGGATGGAGGAGGACCCTGCCCCAGGTCAACCCCCCCATCCCCCACCCCCACCCTGCACTGGGGACTTCTGAGGCTGTGAACTTGTAGGAAGCAGACTGCTTCTTTCATGAAGCAGCTGGTGCATCTAAACCACTGACCTTCCAGTGGCAGCCTGATCCTCACCCCACTGTGCCGCCCAGGCTCCTTGAGCCCCACAGGCGTGCCATAAACACCGGGGCTTCATCCGTGCCCGAGGCGCCGTCCAGGACTCTCCCTGCTGCATGCAGCTCCTTGCTCTCCTCCCGTGGAGGCTGAGCTGCCCCCTTGCCCACCCCACCCGCCCCATGGCTCACCGACAGGGTGGGGGTGCCCTCGTCCTCCACGGTGACCACCAGGTGGTAGAAGCTCTGGTGCTCGCGGTCTGGGGGTGCTGGCCGAGTGGTGATCTCGCCGCTGATGCGGTCCATGCGGAAGGTCATGTCATCGTTGCCCTCCGTGATGTAGTAGGACAGGACGCTGTTGAGCCCAATGTCACGGTCGGTGGCTCTCACCTGGACCACAGTGGTGCCCCCGCCTACATTCTGGGAGGAGAACAGGAAAGAGGTCATTCTGGATTCCTGGTCTCTGGGGCAAAGGCTGCACACAAACCTCCTCTTAGTGGAGCAAGGGCTTAACCTAGACCCCTAGAAGGCCCGGGCTATCTACCTCGAACCATGAGCTGATGATAATGAACATGATGGTGGTACACAGATCATGGGCACCTACTTTGTGATGGGCCCTGCATCTTTTCTGCAACGCTTGAGTTAGATACGGTGTTATCCCCATTTTCAGATGAGAACGTTGAGGCACAGGGAATTGGCTTCTGCAAACCCACACAGGCAGGCATGGCAGAACCAAGGTTTGAACTGAGGGAGTCTGGTGAGAGCTGCAGTCCAGACCTTTAGGCTCTTGGGCCGCAATGCCTACCCAACCCCGCATACCACCCAGCACCCAGTCTGGGCAGACATTCCCCGGGTATCCCACCCCTGTTGGTGTTAGGTGCCACCAGTCTGTTCTGACCATTAGTGCCATCCTCACAATTGTCCCTGAGCTCGGGCCCGTTGCTGCTGGCCTGCGTCAACCCTTCTCCTTGAGGCCTTCTCCTTCACCAAGCGTGATGTCCTTCTCCAGGGACTGGTCTCCCCCGGCAGAATAAATGTCCCAAGTACGCGTGATGAAGTCTTGGCATCCTGGCTTTGAAGGAGCAGGGCGTACTTCTCCCGGGACAGATTTATCGGTCCTTTCAGCAGTCCACAATGTTGTCAATAGTCTCCACTGGCACCACAATGCAAAAGCTTTGATTCTTCTTTGGTGTTCCTTACCCAATGTCCAACTTGGAAACACGTATGAAGTGACTGAAAAGATCATGGCTTGGGTCAGGCGCATCTTAGTCCTCAAAAGACCATCTCTGCTTTTCAACACTCTAAAGAGGTCTTGACCCTTGACGGCTGCTTCCATGAGCATTGAAAATGGATCCAAGCAAGATGAAGTCCTTGACAACGTCCGTCTCTTCTCCATTTGTGTCACGCATTGGTGCAGTTGTGAGGGGTGTGATCTTCTTTACACTGAGTTGCAATCCATACCGAGGCTGCAATCCCAATCTTCATCTGCAAGAGACGCAAGTCATCCTCGCTTCCAGCAAGCAAGGTGGTGTCACTTGTGTGCGGTGGGTGGTTAATAAGCCTTCCTTCCACCCGGATGCCGGACCGGCTCCTCTGATGATCTGCTCAGCATACAGACTGAACAAGGACGGTGAGAGGCTACAAGCCTAAAACACGTCTTTCCTGATTTTAAGCCATTCTCTTGTAAGTGCGACTGCCTCTTGATTCATGTACAAGTTCCTCCTGAACACAATGGAGTGTTCTGGGAATTCCAGTTCTCAAGGCTATAAATGGTTGGTTCTGATCCGCACAGTCAAATACCTTGGCATAGTCAATAAACACAAGTGACAAACTTTCTGGTCTTCTCTGCTTTGAGCCAAGATTCATTTGACTTGAGCAATGATATCCCTTGTTCCATGTCCTCTTGTGAATCCAGCCTGAACTTCAGTGTATCGCTGCAACCATTGTTGAGTGATATTCAGCAAAATTTTACTTGCATGTGATATCAATGATATTTTTATATAATTTGAGCATTCTTTTGGGTCACTATCTTTGAAATGGGTACAAATCTGGATCTCTTTTGGTCACTTGGCCAGGTAGCTGTCTCCCAAATATCCTGGCACGGAAGAGTAAGTACGTCCAGGAGTTCATCAGCTTGTGGTTGAAACAATTCAACAGGTAACCCATCAATTCCTGGAGCCTTGTTTTTGGCTCCCGCTTCCAGTGCACCTTGGACTTCTTCCTTCAGCACCAGTGGCCTTGCTCATACGCTCCCTCCTGGAATGGTGGGGGTGTCCACTAGTTCACTTAGGTGCAGTGACTGTATTCTTTCCATCTTCCTTTGATGTTTTCTGCATCACTCAATGCTTTGCCCATCGAATCTTTCAACATTGCAGCTCAAGGCTTGAGTTTCCCCCTTCAGTTCTTTCGGTTGAAGACATGCTGAACGTGTTCTTCCGTTTTGATTTTCCAACTCTCGGGCTGTACACCTTTCATTATAACCGTTTACTTTGTCTTCTTGAGCTTCCCTTTGAGATCTTCCAGTCAGCAGTGTGACTTCCTCATTTCTTCCATTCATTCCATCCCTAGCACGGAGTAACACACAGGCCACGTTGATTTCTAAAGCCGCCCTCCAAGCAGCGTCAGTCTCAGCTCCCTATTGTTTCTGTTGGATTGGTTCTGACTCATGGGCAGCCCAGAGGTGGCTCCCAGGCTTTTGGGTAGTGGCTGACCGGCTCCGCGGGAGGACAGGCCCGGCTATCTGCTTCCCTAACATTCTAGCCAAGAAAATCCGCTGGGCAACTTAGTTCTACCCCACGCGTGGCACATGGGTGGGCTTCAGTCCCCCACCACACCCAGACCACACACTGAGGTCTGGGACTGCAGCCAGCGACCACTCGTGGGGACCCTAGGGTTTCCCAGTAAGGCTGTAGACCTTTTGGGAGTGGAATGTGCACCTTTCTCCTATGGAGTGGCTGGTGAGAATTTGAACCATTGGCCAATGTTCACCTCACCATGCCACCAGGGCTCAGGAGGGACTTGGACGAGGCACAGGGGTGCAAGTTTGAGTGAGTCAGCCCCCATCTTGAAGACCTGAAAATTGGGGGGTTGGGTGTGGGAGTGGGGGAGGATGCTGATATATATATCAGGGCCTTAAATCAGGGGCTTCAAGATCAGTCATCTCATGCCCATTGGTCACCTGGCCGTCAGGTGGGGGGCTGCCCTCACCTCGTTCACGCTGACATTGTATCCAAAGGGGCTCTCGATCACGGGGGGGTTGTCGTTGACGTCCAGGATGGTCACCTGCAGGATGTGGTCCTTCTTCCGTGGCGGGGTGCCACGATCAGAGGCCACCACCTGTGAGGAGGAAGGAGGACTGTAGTCAGGACCAGAGGGAGGTGGGGGACTGGGAAGACAGAGAGCCCCCCAGGCTGCCTAGCTTCCACCTTCTCTGTCTCCTCTCTGTGAACAATCCTTGCCCACTTGTGCCTGGCATGAGGCCCTGCCCAAGCCTTTAGCCCCTGAGCCCACCTCTGCCAGTGTTCTGGGCTGTGCCAGCCTCTGACTATCACCCTGGGCCTGCCACCTGGCTTGGGACCTCCTGCCTTTGGTTTCTGTCAGGTCTGGTCTCTAGTGAATAGAAGACAAGCCCAAACACTCTTCAGCAAGGACGGGCATCCCGACTGTAGTCTGAACCCAGCTAATACCCCTTCAGGAGGGTCACCCGGGCCCGAGAACCCTCGGGAGACAAGCCCGCACAGCAATGAAGGCCTCTTGCGGCTGTGCTGTGTCTCAGCTTGCAGAGGCAGGCCAGGATGGGGCCCCTCTGCCCACTGCACAGGTGGGGAAAACAGTGACTCAGGCACCTGCGGTCACACTGAGTGTGAGTGATGAGCAGGCTTGGGCTCCCTCAGATCTGATGGGCACTCACTCCGGCTGCTGCAGCTTGGAGTCACGAGACCCCTCCCAGGGTGCCCCCTCCTGGGCTGATCAACCTGTGCTCTCAGCCCTGCGGGGTGCAGG